AGAGGAACCTGCGAACCGACGACTCGACGACCCAACAAAAACTGTCCAATCCAGGAGACGACCTGAAGACTGTGGGTGTCCCCACATGGGGTATTCACCGTCTTTCATGGTGCCAAAACACGACCCATGGGACTGCCAGTCCGGACTGCCTTCAAAACGGCCGTTCGGGGTGGTGCCAGGGGGTCAATGTATGCATATATGGCAGTCCCATGGGTCGTGTCTGGGGTGGAAGAATAAGAACTCCAAACATTGGGTGAGGGAGATCTGATGCTGAAAAAACACGATATACTGGTCTGAAACAAAGGGCACGAGCCCACTGTAGCCCACACACCATATACACCCAACTGACCTGCCACCGTTTTTGGGCCCAGCCCAGCCTCACTCTTCTTGCTTTTGGACGTGCTGCTGTCAGGGTTGCCCTGCCAAACACCAAGCTGAGACAAATGGTTCAAAACTGCTGGAAGCCCAGGGTAATCCTGAACCAACACTCGCAAAAAAGAAACCGCTGTGCTTTGTTCCAGTCGATTCGTGGAAGGAGCTTGGAGTGGTGAACAGCCGGGACGTTGCGGCAGGGACTGCGCCTGCAATCCGTCGATGTACAGGGCCTTAGAAGACGCTTGGAAAAGCCAAGAGATCCTGCCCCATGCATGAAGCGTACGTCAGTGAACTCTGCAGAGGTCAACGGGAGAGCCAGCTTTAGAACGGATCAAATGGGGTAAAGGTGGTGGTGAATTCATGCCCCAAGTGTTCCCAAAAGCATCCCAAAACAAAGTGCACTGCCTGAATTTCTCATGAAGTGGAAAATGGCCGTTTGGATGACTATTTCCCTCTGCAAACAGGTGGTGAACTTCACTTCCATGCTAGTGACTAGTGGCTCGGAGGGTAGATTTCATCACTGAAAAATCTCCTGTGTTCAGAAACATGGCTTCGTGTTTCTGTTCGCTTGTGTGCAGATGTCCCGCTTCAAAAACGTTGATCCCTGAAACTAGGGATGTGGCGGCAAGCTCCGAAAAGGTGTCAGCCACTGGTTCGTTCAATAAGACGATCGCAATTTGAAGTCCGGTTTTTTTCTGTGTGTAAGCCACTTGAGCTGCCAAGACGATCCACCCCAGTCTTTGGATCCAAATTGGGGGAAGAAAGCACCAGGACAGCACAAATCAGTCATGGATTCGAGATCCACAATACTCTGCCATGACCACACATGCGCAGAGAAAGAGGACGGTCAGTGCAACAACGGCTGGAATTGCAACGCGTCTCATCAGATCATTCTTGACCGGCCAACCAACATTGTGAAAAACATTGAAAAACACCATCTCTAGAATTCTCAGGACTATGCCAACTCCAAAGTCAACTCTGGAGTTGACTCATTGAAAAACTCTTGAAACACCAGCTTGATTCTTCTCATTCCACCATAGTCCACTCATTCTTCCAGTCGGTCATCCCATGCTGTTCGACTTCTCTCGATCTCCTCACCCGTCGCCCCGCCGGGTCGGACCCGCCGTGGGCGACGCGGCCGCGCAGGCGGACGCCGACTCGCGGCTGATGACCACCTGGGCGGATCCGTGAGGACCGGTGCCCGGTGCCACGTTGAATCAACGGTGCCACGTTCAAAAAGAACAGAAGTGAATGGCAGTAAAGTCCGAAAAGAGAAAAAAAGGTATGAAGCAGTAGTCATGGTCTTATGAGATTGTTCTTCCTTGATTGGCCAAGAAGAGCCTTTTCTTCCCCCTACATCCCAATTGGAGCCTCCCAACCTTCTACCCAATGCCCAACCATTTGCTCGCCCATCCTCCCAACCGCCCCTCCGAGCAACGGAGATCCCACAGCTGTAGCACTTGAAGACGTCGAGGCCAAAGGGCACCTCGGACAGACGTCCGTCACACAACGACCGAAGAAGCATCACTGGGACACTGGAGAATTCACAATGGCGGTTCAATACATGTCACCACACCTATTGTCTCAGACGATTTCGGGATCACGATGTCAGAGACGACCCCCTGGTGTTCGGGAACGATGCCATCGAAACGTTATCGTGCGATGCCCGACCCGGGGTGCCGTGTGCCGTTCAAAAGACCGCACGGTGCGATACCCTCAGTCCTTGGTCATGGTGAATTGGGGAAGACTCCATTGGTCACGCCCCTTCTGGCCGCAAGAAGCGGCCTTTGTGCACAAACTTGACTCCTGGAAAGACGTCTATTTAATAGTCATTTAAAAATAACGTGAGGGATTGGTGCATGAGAGCTCCAAGAAAGATCGAGGATCCGGAAAATCTTTTGAAAGTTGATCAACCTGGCAATTCAACTCATCTTCAATCTTAAGTGCCCGGTCATTCATCAACTTTATGTAAGTAACAACTTGCTGAGGCCAAACATCTTGCAACAGCTCCCAAGAGAGAATCTCAAGAGACCCCTCCGTAACTTTAAAGTTTGAAGGGCATCATTATGCAAAGAAATGAACGTGCTTTTAAGTGTTTTTTGTACTTTTGTTGAGATTCCAGCCATCGCCACAGCCTGCCAAGCAGCACCGCTGGCAGTGACTTTGGTGGAAAAGGGCATCGGGTAATGCATGAAACCCAAACGGTTTCGAGGACTTTTCAAACACCTTTGGCCAAGCGAGATGCAAGATCTCCGCTGTTTCACGACCTAGCCACTACCCGGTCCGCAGCCCCCCCAGTTTGGCGCCATCCCGCTCGTACCGAAAAAAGAGAGCGCTCACCTAGCGCCCATTCCCCACCAGGCCGCACGGAAGAAACTACTCAAAACGTAACTCAAACCAAGTCCACTCATTCCATCCACCTCCTCTGCCCCACCCCTCCACACACCGCCCGCATCATACCGCCACCGGACCTGCCCCCGCGTTCGAGAGAACGGAGAAGCGCGGGAGGCCCGGGCACACACAGGCTCGTCCAAGCGGCGGAGTTCACCGTGGCGCATTTCCCACAGCTCACCAACTCTTTGGGCTCCCTCAGTGCACCGGGCGTCACCCGCGCGTTCGCGCGAAGAGGACGCGAAGAGGCGAGCGAGGCTTAAAATGGAGATCGCAGGGACACCTTTCGGGATGTGTGGCGGGGTGCTTCCCTTGGTTTTGGAGACAAGTTGGGTGAGATAGCACCAGGTGTCCCTTTTTGTTGGGGGAAATGAACTGTCTTATTCGAGTTCGGATGAGTTTTGTGGAGTTGAAGGTGGTTGAGTCCTTATGCAAAGAGTGCGGATTCTGTCTTTGGACTTGGCTTTCTCCCACTACCAGTGACAGTGGTGATGCTTGGTACAGGCCTTTCCCCCACAATCTTGGGTGGAACACACCCTACCTTCTTGAACAACCTTTGCCACGGGCGAAGTAGTGGTTATCAGCTGCGAAGGGTTTGAGGCAGCTCCGTCCGAAAAGGCACCATGTGATCATCGAAGCTCGGACGGATCCAGGGGTTATTGATTGGACTGTCCCGCCCTACGGAAGTCTTGACCATCTCTCATGTCCTTTGAATGCATGCGCTGCATGCTTCTATCTACTTCTCCTGTTCAGTCCAACTCAGGCAGGATGAGGTTGAAGCCTATCCAGTCAGTGAAGGCATTATTCCCAATCGTCCCTCTTGGTATGAATTGCGGCTCCAACTTTGCCACGGGTACTTGGATGGCCACAATGTCTTCAGCGGAATTGAAATGGTGGTCCCAAACACACAGAAACAAGTTCAGCAAGGTCTTCCACTTTTCTGTTTTTTGAGGGAACTACTCTTCTTGCAAGCTTCTGAAGGGAGCATTCACAAACATTCTGTTTGGTACCGCTGGGGCGCGGCTCAACCGGAGAAATGGAACCGCTTTCACCGTGGAAGTGGTTTTCGGAGATCCTCAGATGCGACCACCGTGTTGTCTCACACGTCGACGTGTCATGATGGTCTGACTTGATTCGCTCGAAGTCTGACTTGGGTCGGATCTGGCAGAAGCTTCACTGCGGGAGGAACGCTTTTGGGAAGGAACCTCCGAGGTGTGAATTTTCGGGCTCCGAAACAAGATGAATCTCTTCCTACTAGTAGCAAGGACCATCGCTACTAGTAACACATCGCTACGAACAGGGCTCCTGGCCTTACTACGAACGGAGCTATCGGACGCTACGGGGCTCCTGGCATCGCTGCGAGTCCGGAGCATTCGTCTCTGAGCCCCCACGCTCGGCCATGGCGGACGGGGCAGTGCACACCACTCAACGAACGGGGCACACCACGAACGGGGCGCACGCGCCCCGGTGTGCCAAAGAGGCACTTAAAAAAAAAACCTTATAGTGCTGAAGATCAGTAGGTGATGAATCATGATGAACTGCTTCTAGACTGGAAGGATTGATGTTGTCGTTTGATGTTGTCAGGCGTTTTGCCCTCTTTGTAATCTCCAACCCCTTCAGCATCTCAGCTGCTCTTGACCTGCCAAGTCTCTTACCCAGACAAGGGGAAAGGTGAGAAATAGTTCTGAAAGCCAGTCTTAGCCCTTGGAGAAATTCACCTCACTCTTTGAAGCAGTCGGTCATTCAGTGCGTTTCAAAGAAGCAGGCTGCCTAGCCCGAGAGCTGAGAGATGCCCAGAGGCTGCGGTCACGAGGCGGATGTTCTGGTCACGACTGTTTCGTCCAAGCTCCAGGACTCAAAAAAAGATTGGAGAAACCAGAAACCGATGGGGGAAGAATATGGAATTCAGGGTTAGGACTTAGGACCAAGTGCTACATCTGGCCATTCGTTTGCTCCTTCAGGAGGAAAAGGCACACCTGGCCATCCCGTGTCAAGAAGCACCATGCGCGGCTCACCCGTTTTTATGTTCGGTCATGCAGAACTTGCCTTTGGCAAGAAACCACGCGTGACCAGCTAGTGTCGTCATCTTGAGGATCTGAAACACACATTAAATTCACTTGCTTCCACCCAAATAACTCCCTTGGACTCCCTTCCCTTATCATGGACCCCTCCACCAAAGGAAAGCTAAAATGAATTGATGCTGTTGTTTAATGATGTGTACGTATTGTCTAAATGAATCGATTCAGCACGCGTAGGTGGGGTTTCTGTAGATCGGGAAGGAATTGCTCCGCAGAGCGCGATGACGAGACTGAAAGATCGATTCACAAGCGTGGGGCCTTCAATTGAAATGTCCCTGCTTCTTTTGAAGCCAGAACTCCCAGACCACAAAAAGAAACAAAATGTTCACGAAACCTGGAGACACATCACTTTTGTGATGCGATTCACCCAAAGAGTAGTGCCAGCAGCGCTAAGCCCACAGCAGTCAGCGTTCCGCAGCGGCAAGCACCGCAAATGTCGAGGTAAGGCGTTGAGAGTTCCGCCCTGCAGCCCTGAGCCGTGCACTCCTGGGAGCCGCTGACAGCGGAGCCGCTGAGAGCGTCGTTCATTGCTGTTCGCTCGCTGCATGTCGAAAACGCGAAAATTGGACCACTTGTTCATCCAAAGTGCCTTAAACGTTTAACTCTTAAACTGCCAACAAGAGCTGGTCTAGGAAAAACAAACGCAGTCGCCAACATAGATAGACGGGAAGAAAAGAACAAGGGACATCAAAAAGTACAAGACCTACAAGACTCAGGTAGGAAAGAATGTCGTTCTTCCTGGAGCTCGCAGAAAAGCACAGCTCCAAGAAAAAATCCTATGACAAATGTTGATGGACCAACAAGAGATGCTGACCAATGCTGGTCTCCGGCCAAAAAAAATGCAAAAAAAGAATTGCATCGACTCAATTGACCACAGCCAATGACTCAATTGACCGCAGCAGCCTTTGTCTTCGCAGAAAAAAAGAAACTATTTGCATTGTGAAACCCCACCAAAGCCTCAAAGCAAAACAAACAACAGTACTAACACAATCATGCTCCAGCAACCAGTTTCACCCGGGTCCCTACCATCTTGGGTTTCTCACTCTCGTCCATGTGTTCCACGCGAGCGAGGAAGGTTCTCTCCGAGCGTCGATGGTGGTGACCGCCCGGGAAATCTCAAACTGCATCACTGCAGGGTCGAAGGCCATCGACATGTCTCCGCCTTCAGCTGAGGAAGGAGACAAAAGGGTGAACTGTTCAGCGAGGAACATATGATTCCTTCTTTGCCAGCGATCGCGCACCCAAAGCTTACATGGTGGGCGCTTCTTGGTACAACCACAAAAATGGGCGTCCAAGGAAGATCACGGAAGTCTGGGAACCGTGGTAGAGACGAATCCATCATGAGAAAGGGCCCAAATCCAACTGTCCCACGCCTGACCATGGCATGTCGATCCTCCAGTCGAGTCGAGGCTTGTAAAAACTTGAACCAAATCTGTGCTATTTTGAGTTTTTTGCTCGTGATCAAGAGCTCCCATCGATTCGATCCGGACCAGGTGCCTTTCCGCTGGATGTTGAATGAGATTCCGTGCTATTTGCTCAGCCCAACTCTGAACAAACATGGCAGCCAAATGAACACGCCAAGAGTTGGAGACTGCCGTTCGCTCGCTCCAGCTGCTCTCGGGTGTCGGCCGGCAGCTTCGCTCTGTGGAACCACCCGTTCACCGATTCGACCGGTCGACCTGTATGGGGCTCCAAACCCAAGGCTTGGTTGACCTAACCAAGGCCCCCCTGTTTTGATACCATGTGAGCTGTGATCTGACAACAACTCACCAGGTCATGTCGTTCCGAACCTCGTTCCGAAGCTCGGGTGACGCCCCACGTTCGCCCCAGGGAAAAGCAAGGTAGGACAGCCACGGCACATTCGATGCGCAGGTTGCCCACACTCCAGGGGTCAGTGTCGCCACCCTGCACGATGACGATCCGCGCCACTTGCGTGAGGGTCCCCAAGTCCAGATCGACTTGTTGGCTTCCGATCCTGTCGCAGCACCAGGATCGAAAGGATCGGCATCACTCACATCGCAGGGCTGGTTAGCTGGGAAAGGAACAATTGCAGGGATGGTGGAGGAATGCTTCAGGATGCGATTGCTAAGACGTCCCAAAAGAGGACGGCGACAAAGGACATGTTTCAGCTGGTGGTTGCGTACCCAGGGCGGCATCATGGCACCCCGCCAAGAAACAAATGAAATGCAATCGTTTTTATGCGCAGTCTACACCCCTCTCCCAGCGGCTCCCCACGGGTGAGCGGTCTGTGTAGATGTCAATGTGTGGTGCGGGGAGCGGTCTGGTGAAATCCGCACGTACCTTGCCGCCCCAGTTCAGCGCAGTCGCGGAGCGGATCCGGTGGAGGTTCGAACATTCGGTGCTTTCGCTCCAACGGGATGGACGTACCGAGCAGGCAAGGCTGCCGAGAGCAGGCGAGGCAAAGGGCGAAGAACGGAGGCTGGACACAAAAAAGACACACAATGATCATCATTCCCACCATTCCCCACAAATCAAAGGAAGTGAATGAGAATGCACCTCATTTGGAACCGTTGTTCGCAGAATACTTAGAGTCCACGGAATCCATCAGAGCTTTCGTGCACGTCTTAGCAGCTCGAAGTGTTTGCTGCATGTCTTAGCGTCCCTTTGCATGCGAGTATGAGTATGGATTGTGCAAAACTCCTGTCGATTCAGAGGGAGAAGTATCCGGTATGGTGGGCGAGATTACGAATGAGAGTGAGGTTACGTCGCGTGTCTCTTTTGGTGAGAAAGTGGAGAAAAAAACGGTTGGTCGGTGCTGTTTTCCTGCCAAGCTGAATTCCAACCCACCCTGCACATGACGTTGCTCTTCCAGTTAGATCTCCGCTGTATGTTTTGGTTTTATCGTGATCTCGTGATCCAACTCAACTCATCTCAGAAACTGCAGCTCAGTTCGACTATTGCAGCTCAGTGACTTCGAGTCATCCCAGCAGGAACAGCCCAGCCCAATCTCGGTCCGTTTCCGATCGCCGTCCAACGGAGAGCGAGATCGGAAGACGAGGGGGTTTGTTTGGGGATGAAGCGGTTCGTTTGGTTTTTCATTTTGGGGGATCGACCACACTGTTCAAAAGAATGAAGTGGGTCTAAGACGGTGGACTGTTTCAAAAGAATGAAATTGGCCACCGTGGCCACCTCCATGGAAGTTGAGTCAATGACTTACATAGCCTTTCAAGCCGTGTAATTAAGCGCACTGCCCGAACTGGGCCATGGCCGACTTGCGTTCGCGAAACCACCGAAACCTCCGTGTTCGACCAATCGGAACCATCGGGGTCAGACCTCACCCTGCAGGGGGCCACCCTTATCCAGTGAGAGATCGAAGCTGTGGAGTCGATGAACTGCGACCTGTGGGGCCGTTCGGGTCTGAAAATGAAGCAAAGTCTCAAACGGGGGGGCGCTACAGTCTCAAAGTGGAACACAACAGCCTCAAAGGACTCTCTACCCCATCTACCCCGCTGGAAGTGAGAAGATTTGACATCATCCCTCACTCGATAGGAAATGCGGTTCCTTTCCAGACCAAGACACTGCACAAAATATGGTCAAGGAGACCTCCCTCTTCACTGCTCTTCAAATGCCTCCCTCGAACTCTAGACTCTAGACATCACGAGTTGAGAGAGAGAGAGAGAGTTTCTTTCCCATCTTTCTGATCTTTCGGCTTTTTGGCAGCAACAAAGGCGTCAAAACCTGCCAACAGCCGACCCGCTTCTTCCCCGGTCCTCGCAGTTTGAGGAAATCCTACGATATCCTTCAACCAAACTCTCTACCATTGGCCCCTACCAATTTGATCAATCCTACTTCCCAAATGAAGAGGTTTCTCAATCCAGTTAGAGGGGGCTTATTGATCAAGAGTCGACATCAATCCATGCCCAAAGCCGCCCCAAAGCCTCACCACTCGGACTCCAAAGCCTGCGGCCGCGTGGCATCCCAATCGCCCGCATGAAAGCTGCTCCGGTCCCCATCGACCACGTTGCTGACGGGGTGGTCGTCGCTCACCCCGGTCATGGTCGATGCAGAGGGCGCCAGCCGCGCACCGGTGCTATCGGTGAGCTCCACCTGCACGTGCTGGGCGGCGGGTCCCAGACCGGCTGGGTGAATGCGAAACCAAAGTGCCAGCAAACACTGTTTTTGGAGCACATCCATCTCAAAGTGGGAGGTGCTAAAAAGGTGGAGGTTCGGTCGAGTTCATTGCTTGACCACTTAACTGTAGAATGGGTGTTCCAGGATGTCGACAGACTCTCGGATCCGGTTCCAGGCCCAACCACCGGAGTACTTCAGTCCCTGATGAATCAAGCTGCTCACCTGCCACTGACCGGCCATGATCGGACGGGTCTCTGTGCGGTTCGCGTTCGGATTGGAGAGTCCGACTCCAAATGCCAAGGACGCTACTAGTAGCTCCTGGTCTTACTACTAGGAACAAGGACACTATACTAGGAGCTATTTGCTCCTAGTAGTATGGCCAGGAGCCACTAGTAGCTTCTTGCTACTAATATAGCGATGCCCTTTGTTCCCTTCGTAGCGACACCAAATGCCCCACGCCTCGTAAATGTCCCAGCTGGCAGAACAAAGCCAGCGTGGAATTTCCCGGCCGTTCGAGATCCGCAAGTAGCGGACTCCCTGGAAGGGGTTGCAGCCCCCGATGTAGCCTGGTTTCGCATGTGGGTCGGCACATGCCTCACGTTGCCCCCTTCTCCAAGTTTGCTGCAGTTTTCTCCTTCCGCGCTGACAGCCAAAATTCCCCACCTTGCTTGCCACGTTTAAATAATGCTTTCCCCAACTCTTACCATCAATCTTTGATGACTGGGCAAGCCCCATGGACTTCCACATGACCAAAAGTGTCAGTTCGAGCGCTTGGCTTCGGTTGAAAGCGCTCTCATTCGAGGAGCAAGTCGAGTGGAAAGACGGTGTGAGTCTGCTGGGGACCGTTTTGGAGAATATCGCGAACTGCTCCAACTCATCTTCACTGGGAATTCTCTAGAAGGAGCCACGGTTTAATGATGCAAATCGTCAACCCCTTTAGGTGGTTCTATATGGTCCCATCATACACCACCCAGCGTGTTTGCAGGATCCCTAAAATGCTACCCCCAAAAAAAACTTTCAAGAGAAAATGAGTTTTTGAGGTAAAAGAAAATCTGGCTTCCTCCAGATCTCCCAACCCTTCACCCTCCTCCCACCCCAGCCCCTTCCTCCGGGTCACCGGATGTGGGCTCCACGCTGCTCACGCTGCTCACGTCTGGACTTGGACTCGTCACCAAGAACTCCCCATCACCTGCCGAACCCAGCGAAGCGTCGGTGTCCATCCCCCGCGACTGGACCCGCAACTGAAGGGCACTGGGGATCTTGGAGGGTTTTTGGAGGAAAGCACAGCATATACCTCACAAGGGGTCAAAGAAAGATGGACAACATGTTACAAAGCGCACTTGTTCACACGTGCTCCGACAACATTCCCATTTGTCAACATCAACATCTCTTTCACGAAACCGAACCAGCATTTAGAGAAAGCCCAACTGCTGTTGCAGCGTTTGGACGCTTACCCTTCGGCCAACAATATCCCTTCACCTTGCACACGGACGAAGATCCAGCTCAGCCACCACACACGGGCCATGATTGTTGCGAAGGTGCAACGCACACACAGAGCCGGGGGGCCCAACACGCAGGTGGAGCTACAACTGCTAGGCAGCAAATGGACTGCAACTAAGGTGAATATGGAAGGAATACAACGATAGGAGGATACATGTAGAACAAAAACAACTATATAGAGATCTGTTTGTACTGTAGGGAGGAAATTGATGGAAATGGTATCCTGGTGAACTCTGGTGTCCTTTCTTGATGCATGATCGCCACTTGGCATGATCCAGGACTTGCATGTTTCCACCGTGGCTCTCGGCATGTCAAAGTGAACTGCCAGTGAACTGCCCGACGTGGAAGCATGGGCCCTTCTGAGAAGAAACCGCATGGGCCTTCAGTCAAAAGGCCCGAAGAGTCATCGAAGGCCCATGATCCTCCAAGCCCTTTCTTTTCGCAAACAGTGTGTCGTGGCCTTTGATCTTTGTTTCGGACTCAACAAGTCTTTGGGACCAAAATCGTCTGAAAACCATCTCACCGCAAAAGTCTGGTCAGTCCCAAAACTGCGTGCCTACGTCTATATCTGTACATCTATAATACATTTGTCGCTTTCCTGGCAGGGTGCCCTGTCTGGAGACCAAAAGCTTGTGTGGGGTTGTCCAGCCTCGTGACCCCGAATGGAAGCAGCTGGTACAGAACTACCAAGAATAGATTGCTCTCTGTGAGGCTCGCGACGTTTCATCCGTCTAGATCCTCTCAACCACCAGAGCACGCGGCTCACCCAAAGTGGCTGAGCCGCTCATGTTGACCTACTTGATTCCAAAACGTGAAGAACCACGTTGCAAAGAACCACGTTGCAATCACGCTGTCAACACGAAAGTATTGGCACACGTTGTGTGCATCTACCTACCAATTCCCCCAAAGCCCGGCTCTCACATCTTCCGTGGTTGCCTCCAGACAAACAAACTTGAAGGAAGTTGCATACTAGGTGGAACCCTCGCACGGAGCATGCAGATGTTGAATCTCCTCCATCTGTGGGACAACATGAAAAAGTGTTGTCCACGTGCTGCCCCATATCTGTTGAATCTCGAGTTTCCCCCCCTCTGGATCGTACGACTTCCGCGGCCGGGTCTTTTTTCCACTCGGGGCGCCCCCTTCTACGCGCAAAACATGGCAGGCGACAGGGCGGGCAAGCGGGAGAGTGTATTGGGTGCTTCTGTGCCTCTCGAAAGTGCTGTGCCTCTGCACCCGCGGGGAAGAAAAAGGACCGATTCAACATGTGTGAAACAAAACAGCCCAAAAATGAGGCTCGGTCCATCTCGGTCCGGCATGCAAGGCTCTATAACAACACGATGTGTTTCACAAAACGATCCGCTAGATCAATAACAACGCTGGGCTTGGGGGCTGATTTGGCCCTTCCATACGTGCTCGACCATGAATCTAAAGGGTCGAGATGGCCCCTTCCTTTTCCAGCTACACCCTGGAAGACGATCCCATGGACCCTGAAAACCACTGGTTGGTAGAGGAAAACACTCGGACCCAGGGGGCCAGGACGTCAGAGTCTATGTGAGTTGACTCGGGAGTAATAGTTTCTTAACACTTCATGACCGCCACTGCGAGCAGACCATCATGACTGAACACATGGACCGAAAAAAACCGACAGGACTGCAAGTGACGCAAGTGACGCAAGCACCAATGAGGTGGAACGTGGTCGTGGGCTTCACTTCGCAAGGACTCACCCCTTTCGAGAGGCCCAGCTGTACAGCTGTACTCATCCGAGGCGTCGTCAGGATCGCTGGACTCACCGGGCAACAGCCGCCCTTCGGGCGGGGAATCCCAGTGCCAAAAGTGCGGGGCAGCGCCAGGAATTTCCTCGATGATGAGAGGCTGGCTAGCTGATCAGACATGAACATGTCCAGACCGATTCATTTACGACGTCTAGCATAGATGATGTCATGGTTCTTTTTGAACCTAATGGATGCTGCACGTCTCCCACGCAGCAAGAGATTTGATTCAACACAGAGCTCGGCCGAGCTCTCGTCGTATTTTTGGGGGGTTCCGTCGCTCCAAGATGCTTCCTCGCAAAGATCGTGTACTTGAAGACCCACCCGTTTAAGTAAATACAATTGTTTCGCATGGGAGTACACTCTTTGTTCCCATGTTTTTGTACCCAAAAAATAGTATAACCTTCTAAGGAAGTTCTATCCAGTCTCCCGCAGGACAAGACCTGACGCACCCGTTGCACCCGGACTGACCTGCTGTGGGCTTTTGTTGGGACTGACCTCCAAGCAACCAGGAAGACACAAGAGATCTGTTAAAAAGAGAGTCTCCCGAAGAAATAAATGTATCTATATGTATATATAAACACGACCACACTTCCTG